CAGGGGGTTGGACTAGATGGTCTGTATGGCTCCTTCCAACTCTATGATTCTATATCCAGTGTGAATATATACCTTAAAAATACTTTATTTGTATTTCTTGGATATATTTGGGCATCCAGAACAGTATTTGGGATTCTCAGGTATACCACTATCTGGGTCCCCTATATTCCTGAAAATATTTGGGAATATCTAGGGTTGTCATTTTAAGGAACCCAGGCTGTTTATTTGTTTGGTTTTTTATTTAACAAGTTTCCTGGGTGACGGGAGGGAGGGGGGAAAGGGAGGCATCTCTGAGCCAGGGATTGCAGCTCCCAGCTGCCACAAGTCTTACCCAGCACTGGGAACAAGTGAGGCACAGGTCTCGACAGAGCTGTAGGTCTGGCTGGCTCCTCCCTCTCCCTCCTTTGTGGGGATGGGGCCATTTTCAGGGCCATTTTTCTCCTCCCAGTCCACGCCCATGAAAGTAGGATAGATTGAAGAATTAAACTCCTTAGCCCACTTTGCTTTTAAACCGGTAGGAGTTGACATTCAAGACAGTGTTCCTAGTGAGCATTACTTCGGCTCGGAGGGTATCAGAACTGAAGGCTCTGTCGATAGACAAGGAACTGTGCATCTTTCGCAATGACAGGGTAGTCCTGCGCACAGACCAGCCTTTATGCCCAAGATTAATTCGACCTTTTGTAGGTCCACTGACATTGTTCTCCCTTCCTTCTGCCCCAATCCTTGGTGTGAGAAGGAAAAGGAATGGCATTGTTTGGATGTGCGTAGGGCACTCAGTTTCTATCTGGATAGAACAAAGCACATAAGGACCACTGACTCCCTCTTTGTTTTTCTTTAGGAAGTCATCCCTGGGTAGGAAGGTTTCATCTTCACCCTTAAGTAGATGGATTAGAGGATGCATATTACTGGCTTACAAGGCTAGGGACCTGGAGCCACCCCAGGGGATAACAGCCCATTCCCCTAGGGGGGCAGCCGTATCTGCAGCCTCCAGGGCATTTCCATCCTTGGATGTGGTATGCAAAGCCACTACATGGAAGTCTATTTACTCCTTCATGAGACGCTACAGAATAGACAAGATGGCCTCAGCCGAGGCTGCTTTTGGCCATAGGGTCTTACAACACACCCTGTAGACAGGGAAGCTGGCAGACCCATCCTGGAGTATACTGTTGTTTTATGTCCCAGGAGTAAGGAGTCTGGAGGACTGCCCCACTCCTGGACCACTGGAGAAAGAAGAAGTGAACCAAAGCCAAGAGGTGGAGAGCAAAAAGAGGAAAGAAAGGAGCACATAAGACACTACAGCAGAGAAATGAGAGAAAGCAAAGGATAAAGCAAGCTGTGAAAGGGAAGAGAAGGGAAGGGACTAGGAAGACAGCTCCCCCAATGTGAAAGCAGACTAGGACAGCAGTAAACTGTGGTCCAAGTATGTTCCTGTGAATGCTCAGACTGTGTAATCTGTTATTGGAGCTTTTTAGTTACCATCATGGGAAGGCACATTTAACATGCCCCCCTCCAGAGTATGTGACAAGGACTATGAGTGGTTAGATGAAGGAGACATGAGTCCTTCCAGAGTCAACTCAGCTAATGGTCCAGAAATCCTGAAGTTAAACTCTCAATTATGTAAAGATAGCAATTTCATTTGTGCAGCTCAAGTGTTCTGAGTAAGAAGGTGTCCTAATTCACAACCATAGTTGAAGATCAAAGAGCAGTTTCCAGATATCAGAATGCAACCTGATGGGGAATTTATAGGATGTTAAGTGCTTGTTGAGTTATTTCCTTGGCCAATCATCTCCTCATTCTAGTATGTAAATCAGGCTCTGCAGCCAAACAGTAAATAGCGTACCGGATTCGCTTCAAAGTGCTGGTTCTTACTTATAAAGCCCTATATGGTCTGGGTCCAGCCTACCTGAGGGACCGCCTTTCCCCATATGTTCCCCCAAGAGCGCTACGGTCTGGGGCCCAAAATCTTCTAACTGTGCCGGGCCCCAAGGATGCTAAATTGGCCGTCACAAGGGCTAGGGCTTTCTCGGTGGCGGCCCCCACCTGGTGGAACGAACTCCCGGAGGAGATCCGGGCCCTGCGGGACCTGATGCAGTTCCACAGGGCCTGCAAGACGGAGCTCTTCCACCAGGCCTTCGATTAGGGGCCGCCGCCGCCGCCCCCCGGCTATATTACCCTCATTGGGGGGGGGGGGTTAGGGCCCTAGGAGGGCAGGAAGAAACATCTGTTTAACATCTATTATGGAATGCCTACTGGGGATGTTTGGTTGTGGATGTGGCTGTCCTCTCTGAGATTCCGGAATGGATGATGTGTAGTTTGAGCACTTTAATGTTTGAGTGGGTTTTAAATTGTATATTATGTTTTTAATTGTACTAAAGTATCTGATGTTTTTATTAGCAAGTTTCCTTGCCATGTAAGCCGCCCTGAGCCCTACGGGGGAGGGCGGGGTATAAATTTAATAATAAATAAATAAAAATAAAAGAATAAATAAAAATAAAACTAGCATTTACAAAGAGGGCAGGAGGGAACACTTGTTTAATTTCAAAGCTAGGTCAAAAGTCAGTGCTTACATGAAGGAGAGAGAAAGAAGCAAAACTCTGCTTCATTACAACAGGGGAAGTGATCAAATGATTTACACAAACTTTTACTTTAGAAAAAGCTAAAAGCAGGAGAAGCTTTTCACAGCCTCCTGTAACTGTTCTTGAAATAGAAGCAAGCAATCCATCATGCCAGAGTTGTAATGAGATGGGACAATAGCTCTGGCTTACAGGCTGAAGCAAGAGATTCAAAAGGCTCATAAAAGCCACTCAGAACCTTTCTGTTTTCGCCTGGCTTGGTATATGATAAATATTTATGACTAGTACACTACAAAAAAGGGAGATTTCAGCAGAATTGAATTTAATCCAAATTCCATCAGTCCAGAAAGCAGTGCTTACTGCAAGCTGGTCTCCACATCTCAAAGGCATTGAAGCTTGATGTATGTGTGACATGCTAATCGAGGAAGCGCGTGTGTTGGAGAGAGGGTGCCAAGACCCACGGGTGGCTTAATTAGAACAGGGAGAAAACACTGGAGGTGTTTTGGGGGCTTCTTGGTATGTTAAGTTTCTTGTGTCTGGAAACCTATATACCTTTTTGGTTATGATCCACAGCCCATATCAGCTTTCTCCCTGTAGAGGTTTACCAACTGGGAAAGACCTGAGAAAATCCGTTGCAGCTTATGAGCATTATGAATTATTACTGCTCACAGAGTTTCATGCTTCTCTCCATGATTATGAGGGCCAGACACTTTTTGTTTCTCAAGTGAGAGACTCCAAGGAATTTGCATTCAATTATTTGCCAGTCAACATAACCATGACCTCATGGTATTTTTTAAATAAAGGAATGAGCACATAACTAAACCTAAGTGGTCCCAATCATCCCAAGGTGTCTGCCACCAAACCCTGCAGAAGTGTCCACATCAATTCCTACAGAAGAACCTGAAAACAGAAAGGGAATTCAGTTCCCTCAGTATTCTTCCAGTACAGAATAATTTAAACCACAAACCTACCCCCGAAACAAGTCTTCAAAAAACACAAAACAACTGTTAGCCACAATAGGTGTCCAACTATGAAAACCTATGGAACATATGGAGGATGTACATGGTTCGGGTTTTCCCTCAGTTGTGCCTAATGACAACTGAATGATTGAGAGGGAGCTTCACATCACCAATTTTATCTTCAAAAAAGAGTGAAAGAATATAGGTGACTGACTGGGGTAGCCCAAAAATGTGCCTGTGTGCAGGAGACTAAAAGCCTTACTAGGTTTAATGGAGATTTCATACAATGCCAATACTTCTTTGCATGCCAGAAGTAGTCTGGCAGAAGCATAGATGCACTGATGGGTGTGTGTGGGGGGGAGTGGGGTTGCAGTGATGAAGGATGATGTGACAATGGGCAGGCTGAACCTTTGATTCTGGGAAAGAGCAGTAAGAACACAGAATTACACTAGGTGTAAGAACATATCAAAATAGTATCCCCTGATAATGGTTCTGGGAAAGAAGTTTTGAGAAGGGCATTACTACAACCACTGGAAAACTCTGCAATCGGAAGGAAACCAGCATGCCTTACAGCTTTTTTGCTTCTGAAATACCACCATGCATGCAACAAGCTGAAGAATTCCTACTACACTGTCAACATGTCAGAAACCTATTTTTAAAGCATTTCGAATAGATCCAACACTCTCCACATGGCTTCTGCTGTCCCCATTAAAGCTAATCTCACCCCCCCCCCCGCCAGTTGCAACATCTCCTGGAAAGTTGCAACACGAGGCTTCAAAAAGTCTTGCTGTCTCCTCCCTCTGGCCCAGTAGATCTGCATCCTCAATTGAAACCACTAGAACCAAAACACAGACGTCCGCTTTGACATCAGAGGAGAGAAGCAACAAGCCATCCGTGGCATGGGTCAAAGGGATACCTAGACCTAACCCCTAGCAGGAGTAGTATGCTACTTGTAGCCAAAAGCAATTGCAGGGATGTGAAAGTCAGTAATGGAGTGTCTCATGGCTTCAAATCCATGTCTTATATTGGAAACACATGTTCCTGGAGGAACGGGAATAAACCAAGCAGACTTCTAGGCACCAGTAACCATGCAAACAGCAGGGAGAGAGGAAAGCTGCAGGGCAACATTAGGAGGACCCTGTCAGGCAGTTTAATGTTTCAGTGGCTATGTATGAATGTTCCCAGGGAGGATAGTCTATGGAACAGGTCCTTTGCTTGACATACTGGGAATCAGTACCTAAGCACATGGCCCTAACAAGAAAGGCATGTGTGTGCTCATTGGTAGTGCCTGAAAAATGGAAACAAAGAGAAGTCCTTGTTTGGGAAAATGCAACACTAGAGAGAGCCATTCAGCCAGCCTCCAAGATACAAAAAATCCTAGCCAGTAGCAGACAAGCATCTAGAACATGGGGCACAACATTTGCTTAGCATGACAAAGGGGGGTGCAGTCAAGAATGAGCATACATACGAGTGACCAGTAGCAGGGATGAAGTATATGCAACAGTGGACCCTGGTGTCAGGTATCTGCTTCTTCCGGTTAATATTCAGCTCCTCCTGGAGGTATTTCTCATACTGGTCGTTGATGAACTTTGTAATGGGTTGCCAACTGTGCAAGAAAAAAAATGAATGTAAAATAAAACAATCTATGCAGCACACTTCAGTGTGTACTCAGGAAAGGAATGTGATCCTCAATCCTAACCCACTGAAACCATTCTGAGTTAATTCCAAGTGGACCTAATTCCTGCCCTGATGTGGCATCTGCTATACATTTTCCCACTGCAGGATGAAATCCATTCAGCAGTGTTCACAGTGTATGATGTTACATGAACATGGTGGGCTTTCTATGAATCTATGAGCTCTGATCTGACATTCCAGAAATGGGGCCAGAGTTCACAGGGATACTCAGAGAAACTGCACCATTCCCACCACATCACAGCCTGCATCCTGTTGCCATGGGAGTTTACAGGAAAGAGTAGGCATATGGCTCTCCCCATTCATGGAGAATTCGAGGAAACGAGAAGATACACAGACATCATTTTTGAGGATTGGGCGACAGTTTCACACACTTTCTCTTTTGTTTCAAAAACTTTCCTAAATTTGTGGTACTACATTTACCTTGTTCATACCTGCAACAGACTACTCTAAATAGCTAGAAGCAGTAAAAATACAAAAAGGGGGGGGGACAAAGAACAGCAGTAACATTACTACAAATTAATTACGCTTTCAAATTCATTTCACCCATTTTATAGGGAAAGGCAGGTTTCCTTTCTCACTGAATACCTTCAATGGAGTAGAATAAACTAAAATAGAAGGGGAGAAAACCAGCCCAAAGAAACAACAAAGTTGGGTACCCAAAGGTTGGGTGAGAGAAAACTATGAGAAATATTAAACAAAGCTTATATACCGAATTTTTCGCACCATAAGACGCACTTCCCCCCCAAAAAAGTGGGGGGGAAGTGTGTGCGTCTTATGAAGCGAATACTGCCTTCTCCCCCCCCCCCCCCAAGCCCACGGGAGCCCATGGGAAGGCTTGAAGACTTACATTTGAAACGACACGTTCTCAGGTCCATTAAGCATATAAAAACGAAAGTAAACCAAGAGCTCCAAGAGGACCAAACTAAATCACACAGAAATTAAGGGAAGAGCAGACTGTTCCATTGGGAGGGGGGGAAGAAGGCTGAACAGGAGCCCCGTTCAGCCTTCCCCCCTCCCAATGGAACAGTCTGTTCTTCCCTTAATTTCTGTGTGATTTAGTTTGGTCCTCTTGGAGCTCTTGGTTTACTTTCGTTTTTATATGCTTAATGGACCTGAGAACGTGTCGTTTCAAATGTAAGTCTTCAAGCTCCTTTTTAACAGCTGGTGGGGTAATTTAGAACTTGGGGAAAGCAAACATACACAGAGGCTTTTATTTTCTGTCCCTTTCTTCCCATTTTTTTCTTCCCCTTTCCTTGCTCCCTTTCTTTTCCTTTCTCCAATTTCTTTCTTTCCCTTTCCTGCCTTCTTTCCCTTTTTATCCCTTTCCTTCCTTCCTTCCCCCCTCTCTTTTTTAAGCTATAACCAGCTTAAAAAAAAGGCTAACAGTCAATAAACACAAAGTGTGCCAAACAAAGCTTGAGTCCAGTGGCACCTTTAAGACCAACAGAGTTTTAATTCTGGATCTTAGCTTTCCTGTGAATAAACTTTGTTGGTCTTAAAGGTGCCACTAAACTCAAACTTTGTTCTGTTGCACTGGAACAGATATTCTTAAGTACCACTGCTAATGAAATATTGAGCTGCTATCCTACCTTAAGCATGTGTGGACAGGAGGTGTTGGGTGTACCCTAATAATTTGTGAAGTCTTTTGTACAGTGTAACCCTATTGCCTGTGTAGAAGAGCCCTCTTGAATCATTCTGGTTTGCATAGGCTTCTCTCCCCACTGAACAGCAGCAGAAGAGGCACTTTTTCCCGTTTTCCTCCTCTAAAAACTAGGTGCGTCTTATGGTCAGGTGTGTCTTATGGAACGAAAAATACGGTATTTATTACATAAAACTCTACTTTCAAAAGATAGACACAGTTCACCCTTGAAGTAGTAAATATTTGAACTAAGAAGTCCTCGATTTATATAACATGATATAATTCAATTCCTCTAGGTTAAGAGCCTTGAACCAATAAAATAGGACCAACAATTCAATATCTCTAGGTCGATAACCTTGAAAACATTAAAACAGGACCAAGTGCATTTTTTTATTTAACATTTTTTATTGGAAGATTTTTCAACATACATAAAAGATACAAGTATTTTGGAGTAGTGAATATTGCAAAATACATAGAAAAGTTAATCATCCATAAAATTCTTAACTGTTTTGTTTTCAATGATAAGATTGTCTGAAATTCAACTGTAATATCGTAGGAATAAAAGTTTTCATGATACTAACTAATTAACTCAATGTAAACGTACCAACAGAATATCCAACTACTGAGCAATTCATGAAATCAAGTGCCAAGAGAGAGAGTTTAGCCCATAATTTGACATCATTTTTGCTTTTAGATCTGTATCTTGTTGATATGAAAAGCGGCAGAGCATCATATCCATTTCTGATAATTAGACCAAGATGCAGGTATAAATTCTTCCTCAGTAAGGAGATCAAGGATGGGTTTCCACTTCTGCATAAATTGAAATTTGATAGGCTGTAGAGAGCTATTGTTCAGTTTGTATGTGACACTATCCATTAAAAATTGGTCCCACATCTTTCGGTACCAAACCTGGATGTCAGGTGGTTTATCATCCTTCCAACGCGTAGCAATAGAGAGTTTTGCCGCATGTAGCATGACATTTAAGATTGTTTCGTACTTATGTGTTTCTATGTGTATAGGCCAATAGTCAAGAAAAAGGTTTTCTGGTTTTAGTGGAATGTCTATGCCCATAATTTTCCTGATATGGCTTTGTACCTCTTTCCAAAAGAGTTGAATCTTTGCACACTGCCACCAGCAGTGTGCATAATCACCAATCTGTTGACACCCCTTCCAACATATAGGAGAGCTTGTGGAACCCATATGATCTTAAACTGTTGCAGCTCCATTAGTATGGAGCGGGGAAAACGAGTTTGTGTAGCCCAAAAGACTAGATATCATAATCTAGAGTGCTCTCACAGTCCTTCTGCCATGCAGACTGATAAGGCATAAGTTTAGTTGTTTTGTCTTTTAGAAGAAGTTGGTACGTGGCTGAGATCAGTCCTCTATTTTGTGTGTCATATAATTTTTAAATCATTTCGAGATCTGTATGGGGTTGGGCAAGGATGGCAGTTATCTTGTTTTGGCTAAAGACATGCTGCATCTGCAAGTATGGGAACCATGCTACTGGTAAACTTAATTTGCTTTCTATTTCTGCTTTCTTCTTCAGGCCCTGTTTGGATGAGATGTCACAAAACCGAGACAGCCCTGCCTTCCTCCAGGACTCTAGGTAAGTATGATCAACTGTTTCCGAGAACCAGGTTTGATGTGTGAAAGTGGAGTATCGTGACACCTCAGGTAACAATGTCTTGCGTAGTGATTTCCATAGGCTGATCATTGGCACTAAAAATATGTTGTTTCGTTTGGAGGCTGGTAGATTTAGTTTAACAGTCCAGATCATAGCATCAAGTGAGAATGGGTGTAGAAGGTCTGAGCATAAACGAACCAAGTCTGGTGTATGTGTTACTCTTTGTGTCTTGATAATATTTGCCAATAATGTCGATTTTTGATAAGTTGTAATGTCTGGTAGTCCAAACCCCCCATTATGTTTTTGTTTCTATAAGATATGGAATCCTATCCTTGCCCACAGAAACTTCAACAAAGTGTCCTGCAGTTTTTTGAGTATGAGTGTTGGGATAGCTATAGGAATTGCACGAAATACAAAGATGAGTTTTGGTAAAAGGAATGATTTTATCAAGTTGTGTCTATCTAACCATGATAAATTTAATTTACTCCATTTGAAGATGGTACTGAGCATTTTTGAATGACTCTCATTATGATTATATTGTAGGAGTTTTGATAGGTCTAATGGGATTTTTATACCTAAATATGATATATAATTTGAGAACCAGTTGAATTTAAAGATTTGTTTGAGCTTAACTTGCTTTTCTCTAGAGATATGGATAGGAAGTATTTGTGATTTGGCGTCATTTATACATAACCCCTATATTACCCCAAAGGAAGATATTGTTTGCATCAATGCCGGTATGGATGCCTCTGGATTTGTGACATACAGCATCATATCATCCACGAAGAGGGAAATTTTGTATTCCCTTCCTCTGATTTGAACTCCCTTGATATTTTGGTTAGTCCTGATTGCCTGCGTCAGAGGTTCTATCGCCATGGCGAATAAGAGTGGGGATAATGGGCACCCCGTCTAAGGTTTATTGTTTGGGACATGGAAACATTTGTCTTAATATTGATTGTTGGATTCGCATATAGATTTTCTATGGTTTGAGTGAATTTGGGGCCAAATCCCATGTTCTTAAGTACTGCAAAGAGATAGGGGAACTCTACCGTATCAAAGGCCTTCTAAACATCTAGGGAGAGAAGGCCCATTGATATCTTAGAATTGATACCATGTTGGAGTAGATTTAGAGTCTTGATTGTATTGTCTGTGAGGTCCCTATGCGGGATGAATCCAACTTGATCAGAATGAATGTAATATTGAATAAAGGTGTTGATTCTTCTGCCCAGGATAGATGTGAAAATTTTAATATCCTGATTTAACAAAGAAATAGGATGATATGATTTTGGGCATCTGAGATCACAGTCTTTCTTGGGTATAACTACTATGGAGGCTTGTCTCCAGGAGGGGGGGATGATTCGTGTGTCTAAGACATGACTGAATGCCTTAGTCAATGGGGCAATGAGCAGTGGCACATATACTTTATAATATTTGAAAGGAAAACCATCCAGACCCAGGGTCTTCACAGTCTTTAGCTGTTTAATATTATCTTTAACTTCTTGTTCTATAATTGGCTCCTCCATAACTAATCTATGCCTTTTATCTAGTGTAGTGTGGAATGGGAAGTGGTCAATGATCTTTTGAAAAGTATCCTGACTCACAGGTTTAGCCTTGTATAGTTCAGTATAATAATCCTCAGGTACCTTCAAAATATCTGATGTGGATGTGACCATTTCTCCCTTGGTGTTTCTGAGTGCGTGGATCTGTTTGGATGTCTTTAGATCTTTTACTTTGCGAGCTAGAAGATTAAGTGTTCTAGGTGACTTCACCCAGTATTTTTGTTTAGTGAAGATGAGCTGTCTTTTGATCTTAGAAACTTCTAGCATATTGAGTGTCTTTCCTTCTAGATTAAGTTGTTTCAGAATCTGTGTG